AAGGAGAGGTCCTTAGTGACCTGGCCGGAGGACCAAGCCACAAACAGGAAGCTGCAGCTCTGAGAGTGAGAGGGGCACAGGCTGAAAGAGATGATGGAGAGAGACACCACCAGAGGAGGGTAGCATCTGGCAAGAGCTAATCCCCAGAGCTGCCATTGGAGGTGCAAGATACAGTGAGTGAACCCCGTGACACCTTTTTACAGAAGAGAATTAAGACCTTGCTCCTGCAACAAGCTCTGCATGGACAGAGCCTTGAGTGGCATTATTATTATTTATTTTATCATAGCAACTAGAAGCCCTAGTCGTAGACTAGGATCTTACTGTGCTAGGTGCTGTACAAACACAGAACAAAACTGTCCCTGCCCCAGTGAGTATCACGGAAGTCAATGGGATTTGACTTACATGGAGTTCCTTAGTTCGTGCAATGCAAGATAAAAAGGTGATAAGTAACCGTATAAAATTCTCACTACAGGATTTACTTTGAAGGAGCAAGTCATTGTCCTTTAAATTGATGAAATAACGTACAAAACCTTCTGTAACAGCAAAGGAGTTGCCAATAACTTCAAACTATAAACAAAATGGAAATATCTGATTACCCGCCGTGACCTTTTCTGGAATACTGCTTCCTTAGTTCTATTGCCTACAATATATACAGCCATTTCTTTGACTAATAGAAAAGGAGTACTTGTGGCACCTTAGAGACTAACCAATTTATTTGAACATAAGCTTTCGTGAGCTACAGCTCACTTCATCAGATGCATACTGTGGAAACTGCAGAAGACATTATATACACAGAGACCATGAAACAATACCTCCTCCCACCCTACTCTCCTGCTGGTAATAGCTTATCTAAAGTGATCACTCTCCTTACAATGTGTATGATAATCAAGTTGGGCCATTTCCAGCACAAATCCAGGTTTTCTCACCCTCCGCCCCCCCCCCCCAAACTCACTCTCCTGCTGGTAATAGCCCATCCAAAGTGACCACTCTCTTTACAATGTGTATGATAATCAAGGTGGGCCATTTCCAGCACAAATCCAGGTTTTCTCACCCCTCACCCCCCTTCAAAAACCACACACACAAACTCACTCTCCTGCTGGTAATAGCTTCCAAAGTGACCACTCTCCTTACAATGTGTATGAAAATCAAGGTGGGCCATTTCCAGCACAAATCCAGGTTTTCTCACCCCCCCCAAACACACACACACAAACTCACTCTCCTGCTGGTAGCAGCCCATCCAAAGTGACCACTCTCCCCACAATGTGCACGATAATCAAGGTGGGCCATTTCCGCACAAATCCAGGTCTTCTCACCCCCCCCACACACACACAAACTCACTCTCCTGCTGGTAATAGCTCATCCAAACTGACCACTCTTCTTACAATGTGTATGATAATCAAGGTGGGCCATTTCCAGCATAAATCCAAGTTTAACCAGAACGTCTGGGGGGGGGGAGTAGGAAAAAACAAGGGGAAATAGGCTACCTTGCATAATGACTTAGCCACTCCCAGTCTCTATTTAAGCCTAAATTAATAGTATCCACTTTGCAAATGAATTCCAATTCAGCAGTTTCTCGCTGGAGTCTGGATTTGAAGTTTTTTTGTTGTAAGATAGCGACCTTCATGTCTGTAATTGCGTGACCAGAGAGATTGAAGTGTTCTCCGACTGGTTTATGAATGTTATAATTCTTGACATCTGATTTGTGTCCATTTATTCTTTTACGTAGAGACTGTCCAGTTTGTTTTGTTCAGTGTTTATTTTAGTAAAGTCACAAGGTCATGTAGATCAACTCAAACGTTATTACTGATATATAGGCTTTCTACAGTGCATATTGCCATGGTATCTGGGCTCCTCACAAACACTGATAGATTTAGCCTCAAAATACTTGGTGAGTTAGGGAAGTATCACCCCACTTTCCCGATGGGAAATTGAGGCACAGACAGGTCAATCCTGCAAGTGCTGAGCATTCTGTCCCTAATCCAGCAAAGTACTTTAAGCATGTGCCTAATTTAAACATTCAGTATATGAGCAGTCTACTCATGTTTAAGTTAAGCACATGCTTAATCCTCATCTACATTCATGGAGTAATGTTGTACTCTGCAAGCATATATATTGCAATAACTCATGAACTAGTAACCCTTCAACCATGCTGTTTTAGGACACTGTCACCTCAATACATGTAATCAACTCATCCAAAAAAAAAAAAAAAAAAGACTATATGAAAAAAAAATTGTATCAAAAATGTATGTGGGGTACAAATGTACCCCCAGGGCCATTGCACTGTTATCCTGTATTTTTAGTAGTTCCATGTTCTCGTTCACTTCTAGTGAGAGTATCTCGCAATAGTTAGCATATGGTAATTGACAATTCATTGCAGTGACAGTGGTTGCTGCATACAACCACCCTAATATAGAAGGTACTCCAGGGAGGTTGGTCCCTTCAAACCTGGGCATATTAGGTATCTTCAGCACAGAATGGACTGACACTGGTTTTCTTCACCTAACATTCTTGCAGGGATTTTCTGGCTAGGTATTGTGCTTCAAAACTACAGACTCAGGAGATTCTTGAGGCTATTTTCTGTGATGCACATTTCAAGATGGAAAAAAAATGGGCACAATTTTCTGCTTCTGAGCTTATCAAAAGGATTTTCAACTCTGAAAGTGAGTTGTTGTGTGATGACAACCTATTAGATGATAGTGACTTTGTGCCGGATTGTGTCAAGAGCTGGTCTGAGACGGAAGACCATACAGTATTTCTGTTGATTTATCATCAAGTTTGTGTTCAGACAGTGAGGAGTTCATGTTCAGCCCTGGTATAAGGCTGAAAGAGACGTAGTTGGTGATAACTTCTTCACTAATATTCAGCTTGTTGAAGGTCAAATTTTTGTTGAGTAGATCTATATTGGAACAATCTGATGAAAAAAGCCAGATATATCTATTGAGATGCATCCACACTGCAGCAGAGAAAGAAGAGCTGGTAACAGACAGGAGACCTGACATGCCAAATGCACTACAAATGTCACTTCCATGTACATTTGCTAACCCCTTAAATGTACACGTTAATCCATTCTTTCACCTCCACCTTCCTCCATGAATGATAGCAATAAGCTAAATTATAAGGAGCGGAATACATCTTGAAGTTATTCCTCCCCATCTATTATCCCAAAAAGCACTGGACAGAGACTGAATTTTTCAAATCTCCTGTTCAGACCTTCCAGTAGTAACAAAGATCAGGGCAGTAGAGGATTTGGTGTGCGCATGTATAGGCTGAACTGAAGTGACACAAGCAGTGGTGAGCTGAAGCCGGTTCGCACTGGTTCGCGAGAACCGGTTGTTAAATTTAGAAGCCCTTTTAGAACCGGTTGTTCCGTGAGGGTTCTAAAAGGGCTTCTACATTTAACCGGCCAAAAGTGGCACCTTAGGCACCGACTCCATGGGTGCTCAAGCCCTGGAGCACCCAAGGGGAAAATTTGGTGGGTGCAGAGCACCCACCGGCAGCTCCCCGCCCCACCCCCGGCCCTAGCTCACCTCCGCCTCTTCCCCTGAACGTGCCGCCCTGTTCTATTTCTCCACCCCCCCAGGCTCCCCGCGAATCAGCTGTTCAGCAGGAAGCCTGGGAGGGCTGAGAAGCAGGCGGCAGCTTCGTGCTCAGGCCCAGGGAGGCGGAGGTGAGCTGGGGCGGGGGGGCACGAGGAGGGCTGCCCGCGCCGCAGCAGGTAACCGGGGGGGAGGGGAGGGCACGTGCAGGGGAACCGCTCCCTGCCCCAGCTCACCACTGCCACCCTTGGCCTGAGCGGGAAGCAGCCGCCTCCTTCTCAGCCCTCCCCGGCTTCCCGCCAAACAGCTGATTTGCGGAAAGCCGGGGGAGGGGGCGGAGAAGCAGAGCGGGGTGACGCGTTCAGCTGCGGAGCAGAGTGGAGGTGAGCTGAGGCCGGGGAGCTGCCAGTGGGTGCTCCGCACCCACCAAATTTTCCCTGTGGGTGCTCCAGCCCCAGAGCACCCAGGGAGTCAGCGCCTAAGGCGCCCCTTTTGATGTGATCAGTGGAGGAGCAGCTGCTCCCCCCTGCTCCCCTCCACAGCTACGCTCCCCCACCACTAGGAGCCAGAGGGACCTGCTGGATGCTTCCTGGGAGCTGCCCCAGATAAGCATCTCCGGGACTCCCCACCTAGCCCGCTGGCAGGTGCCTCTGGCTCTTGGGGCGGGGTGGGCACCCACTACGGTGGCCCACGAGACCCTCCTGCCCGGTTCTGGGGGTAGTCGGGGACAGGGGAGGGGGGTGGTTGCGGCACGGGTCCGGGGGGGCGTCAAGGAATGCGGCGGTGTTGGATGGGGCAGGAATCCCGGGGGGCGGGGGTGGGCAACGACCCCCTCGTGGGGTGAGGAGGGAACTAGTTGTTAAGATTTTGGCAGCTCATCACTGGCACAAGGGTCATATATCTAATATATTCATGTGAGCAGATTGGGTACTAAAGTATACAGCAAACCTGATCTCCAATTAATCCAGAGAACAGAATTCTTGTATATTTCAATACATTGGTGGCTCCCAAAAACAGAACTGACAGGCAGAGCAAGATGATAAGCTGATCTGGATATATGTTTTTTAAAAACAAGACAGTCTTAGTGCTGAGAATCTATTTTCAGATAATCTAAAAATACACTTTAATTATACACTGCCACTTTACTATTGACAGCTCACTGTGGTAAAGTGGCAATTGCCCAGTGGAAGATGGCTGTCTTGGATGTTTAACGTTAGTAGAGCATCAGGGAGGCTACATTTGGTGAAATTATGCTGCATGGGAACATGACTATACATCAGATACTACAGGGGTATATAATCCAAAGTGGCACGTGTGGTCCTAGAAAGCTAGAAGTCTTAGAACTGTGCTAGTCACACTGATGGTACACAAACATTTTCCACAGCCACCATATTATAAATAATAGTCATATAATAATAATAATAATAATAATAAATAATAAAGACAAAATCTTTAAACTCTTACCAAAGCAGGAATTGACAAAGCCATACCACATGCAACCATACTCTCCTCCAATCCATCTGCCGTGGATGTTGGATGCAAAACTGAGTGTGGTGCCGGAGATGCACACTAACATGTCACTGGCACTGATGTTCAGCAGTAGCATGTTCACAGGGTTGCGCAGGGTTTTAAACTTGCAGAAGAGTATGAGAACAATCAAGTTATTCAAGAAGCCAAATGCCAAGATAAATCCAAGGAAAACAGCCACTATGGTGTGCCCTGTTCTAGAGAGTCCAGTTCGTGGCTCATGAGGATCTGTAGATGCTCCAAAGCTCAGGTTGGCTGTCCAGCTGGTACTCATTTCTGACATTATAGTAGGCTGGAGAGTTCTACTCCCAGATCTTCTAGCTACTTTATAGAAGTACTTTTAGACCAAAGGTAGAAGGCATCTTAAAAAACTGCCAGGTCTTCAGAGCAAAGCAAGTTCTAGTAATTGTGATCAGTCCCGTTGTCACAAAGGAGTTCTTACATCTGATGAAGTGAGCTGTAGCTCACGAAAGCTCATGCTCAAATAAATTGGTTAGTCTCTAAGGTGCCACAAGTCCTCCTTTTCTTTTTGCGAATACAGACTAACACGGCTGTTCCTCTGAAACCTTCATGGCAAAAACATCCTGCACACATGGAAAGAAAACAACAAGCATTATCTCCAAGACAATTCTTTTCATATTAATACCAAGAGGCTACATTGTCTGTTAACAGTTCTTCCCCTTTGGCAAAAAGAACTTTTGTTAAAACTCAGTCTTTTGTTTTCTCTCTGCATAAATAAAATCCGTTATTTGAAGTCTTAGAGTGCTTTTTGTATTTATGAAAGCTATTCTAGAAGGATTCCCTCTAGCCAGCAGTCTATTACACAAAAGACCACTTAGGCACTTTATAACCCAGGCACTAGTGTGAGAAAATATTTAGTAAGGAATCAGTGATGAGCTGCCAAAATCTTAACTCCTGCCCCATCCAACCCCCCGCGTTCCTTGACGCCCCCACTCCAGACCCCTGCCCCATCCACCTCCCTCCCCTGTCCCCTGACTGCCCCCAGAACTGGGCAGGAGGGTCTCATGGGCCACCGTAGCGGTGCCTACCCCGCCCCTAAGACCTGCAGAGGGACCTGCAGGGGCTGAGGTGGGGAGTCCAGGGGGTGCTTACCTGGGGCAGCTCCCAGGAAGCACCTGGCAGGTCCCTCTGGCTCCTAGGGGTGGGGGAGCGTAGCTGGGGGGGGAGCAGGTGGAGCGGCCGCTCCCCCACTGATCACATCAAAAGTGGCGCCTTAGGCACCAACTCCGTGGGTGCTCCGGGGAAAATTTGGTGGGTGCAGAGCCCTCACCGGCAGCGCCCCACCCCTCGCCCGGCCCCAGCTCACCTCCGCTCCGCCTCTGCCTCCTCCCCGAATGTGCCGCCCTGTTCTGTTTCTCCGCCCCCTCCCCCGGCTTCCCGCGAATCAGCTGTTTGCGCGGGAAGCCTGGGAGGGCAGAGAAGCAGGCGGCGGCTTCGCGCTCAGGCCCAGGGTGGCGGAGGTGAGCTGGGGCAGGGAGCGGTTCCTCTGCACGCCCCTCCCCTCCCTGGGTTACCTGCTGTGGCGCGGGCGGCTCTCCTCGCCCCCCCCCCACCCCAGCTCACCTCCGCTCCGCCTCCGCCTCCCTGGGGCGGGGGGTGGAGAAGCAGAGCGGGGAGGTATGTTCAGGGGAGAAGGTGGAGGTGAGGTGAGCTGGGGCCGGGCATGGGGCAGAGAGCTGCCGGTGGGTGCTCTGCACCCATCAAATTTTCCCCGTGGGTGCTCCAGCCCCAGAGCACCCACAGAGTTGGCGCCAAAGGCACCACTTTTGGCCAGTTGTTAAATTTAGAAGCCGTTTTAGAACCGGTTGTCCCCTAAAAGGGCTTCTAAATTTAACAGTCGGTTCTAACCAACCGGTGAACTGGCTCCAGCTCACCACTGTAAGGAATATGGTTTTATTTAAGCTCTCCAGTGTCTCTCCTGCTGTGTTTGTGCAGCTCCCAACACACCAAAGTCTCAATCCTGACTGGGGCCTTGGGGGGGGGGGGGGTGGCAGGGCCTACTATACTATATGTGATTACTGATTACTAACAATCTGAAGGGAAATAGGAAGAGTTTTCATACCCAAGCAGCAGCATTTTAGTGCATCCCTTGAAGGTAGAACACATTGCAAGATTGAAAGACCTATTTCATATGAGATCTATTTCATATCTACTGCATTCACTGGCTACTAGACATTAGTCTCCACGATTCAGAGACTCCAACCAGCTTCTCAATGCTTTTTCCCCCCACAGACTTAAAAATGTATATCATATATTCATTATATAAATATATTGTATTTGATTAATTAAATTGTAATTAATTAATACCACAGAGACTATAACACAAAGAAAAAGGAAACTAGTAAAGTACAATATCATGAAAGATGTATTAACTCTTTAGCCACAGCTTTCAGGACAGGTTGCTGAGAACATAATTAGTCTATATTCTTATTTTATATAGTTTTTTTGTTAAAGGGGAACTAAAAGGACAGTTACGATGTTGTAGAGATTTCCATTCTGAATTTAAAAGTACATGGTATCTTTAGCTTCCTGAACTAAAAGACAAATTAAAAAAGGGGAGTTAAAATTTCTGTTTCTGAAGCCAAGAGTTCCCAGAAAGATTATTCATTAAGAAGAAAGGATATAGATAAATGAAATGTGTTAACCCTTGCATTTCTTCTAACCAGTAGTTTCTCTGAGAAGTACTTGCTAGAAAGATGCATCACAACAGCAGAAAGGTATGGCACAAAACAGCTAAACAGAATTTACTAAAAATTCTGTTTACCTGTTTCATGCAATGTCTCTCTGGTGTCATGATGCGTTTTTCTAGCATGTATTTTTTCTTTATATTGTACCATACTTACAAGTTATTGTGCACTTCCAAACAGCCATATTGCTACATCCATCTCATTACTGTAATGATTTTATTTAAAGTACACAATGTATTATGACTTTACCTTTGTGAATTATAAACTATAGATGCTTTACAGATCAATCTAAAAATGTAGTCTACTTTTTTCCCATATCCCATACAGCTTTACCCATCTCTTTTGCATCTGACCACTTATTTTAGACTCATCCTGCTCTCAGCCCCCCAACTCTGTCCTTGTTTATACCCAACCAATAGTATTGAAGAATTTGGCTTCAAAGTTCATCCACACACAGATTTTGTAGTGGTATAACTATTTCAAAGGCCACATCTACACTACGAAATTAGGTCGAATTTATAGAAGTCGGTTTTGTAGAAAGCGTTTTTATACAGTCGATTGTGTGTGTCCCCACACAAATGCTCTAAGTGCATTTAGTCGGCGGAGTGCGTCCATAGTACCGAGGCAACCATCGACTTCCGGAGCGTTGCACTGTGGGTAGCTATCCCACAGTTCCCGCAGTCTCCGCCGCCCATTTGAATTCTGGGTAGAAATCCCAATGCCTGATGGGGCAAAAACATTGTCGGGGGTGGTTCTGGGTACATATCGTCAGGCCCCCCCCTTCCCTCCCTCCCTCCGTGAAAGCAACTGCAGACAATCGTTTCGCACCTTTTTTCCTGGGTTACCTGTGCAGATGTCATACCACGGCAAACATGGAGCCTGCTCAGCTCACCATCACCGTATGTCTCCTGGGTGCTGGCAGACGCAGTACTGCATTGCTACACAGCAGCAGCTCATTGCCTTTTGGCAGCAGACAGTGCAATATGACTGGTAGCCATCATCGCTGTACTCCAGGGTGCTCTTTTAGCCGACCTCGGTGAGGTTGGTCAGGGGCGCCTGGGCAAACATGGGAGTGACTCAGCCAGGTCATTTCCCTTTTAAGTTTTGTCTAATGGCGATTCAGTCCTGCGACAGTCCTACTGCACCGTTTTCTAATGAGCAGCCAGGAGACGACGAGGGCCAGCAGTTGTACTGCACCGTCTGCTGCTAACAAGATGTATAAAGATAGATGAAGTGGATCAAAACAAGAATCAAACCAGATTTGTTTTGTATTCATTTTCTCCTCCCTCCATGAAATCAACGGCCTGCTAAACCCAGGGTTTTGAGTTCTATCCTTGAGAGGGCCATTCTGTGTCTCCTTGATGCAAAGCCACCCCCTTTGTTGATTTTAATTCCCTGTAAGCCAACCCTGTAAGCCATGTTGTCAGTCGCCCCTCCCTCCATCGGAGCAATGGCAGACAATCGTTTCGCGCCCTTTTCCCTGGATTGCCCGAGCAGACGCCATGGCATGGCAAGCATGGAGCCCATTCAGCTCACTGCAGCAGTTATGACCATTGTAAATACCTTGTGCATTATAGTGCAGTTTATGCAGAACCAGCACCTGAAAAACCAGGCGAGGAGGTGACGGAAGCACGGTGAGGAGGACATGAACACAGATTTCTCTAAAACCACAGTCCCCAGCAATTTGGAGATCATGGTCTTACTGGGGCCATGGAACGCCAATTCTGGGCCTGGGAAACAAGCACAGAGTGGTGGGACCGCATAGTGTTGCAGGTTTGGGAGGATTCTCAGTGGCTCCGAAACTTTCGCATGCGTAAGGGCACTTTTATGGAACTTTGTGACTTGCTTTCCCCTGCCCTGAAGTGCAAGAATACCAAGATGAGAGCAGCCCTCACAGTTCACAAGCGAATGGAAATAGCCCTGTGGAAGCTTGCAACGCCAGACAGCTACAGGTCAGTCGGGAATCAATTTGGAGTTGGCAAATCTAATGTGGGGGTTGCTGTGATGCAAGTAGCCAACACAATGATTGAGCTGCTGCTATCAAAGGTAGTGACTCTGGGAAATGTGCAGGTCATACTAGATGGCTTTGCTGCAATGGGATTCCCTAGCTGTGGTGGGGCTGTAGACGGAACGCATATCCCCTTGGCACCAGACCACAAGGGCAGCCAATACATAAACCGAAAGGGGTACTTTTCAATGGTGCTGCAAGCACTGGTGGATCACAAGGGACGTTTCACCAACATCAACGTGGGATGGCCGGGAAAGGTTCATGACGCTCGCGTCTTCAGGAACTCTGGTCTGTTTAAACGGCTGCAGGAAGGGATTTACTTCCCAGACCAGAAAATAACTGTTGGGGATGTTGAAATGCCTATAGTTATCCTTGGGGACCCAGCCTACCCCTTAATGCCTGGGCTCATGAAGCTGTACACAGGCACCCTGGACAGTAGTAAGGAGATGTTCAACTATAGGCTGAGCAAGTGCAGAATGGTGGTAGAGTGTGCATTTGGATGTTTAAAGGGTCGCTGGTGCAGTTTACTGACTCGCTCAGACCTCAGCGAAAACCGATATTCCCATTGTTATTGCTGCTTGCTGTGTGCTCCACAATCTCTGTGATAGTAAGGGGGAGACGTTTATGACGGGATGGGAGGCTGATGCAAATCACCTGGCCGCTGAATACGCGCAGCCAGACACCAGGGCAGTTAGAAGAGCACAGCAGGAAGTGCTGAGCATCAGAGAAGCTTTGAAAACCAGTTTCATGACTGGCCAGGGTACTGTGTGACACTTCTGTTTGTTTCTCCTTGATGAAAACCCGCCCCCTTGGTTGCCTCTAAATTCCCTGTAAGCCACCCACCCTCCCCACTTCGATCACAGCTTGC